CTGGTGCAGTCTGAGTGACCTCATGACCTTTAGACTTTGGGGAGCGGCACTAGCCTGGATGAGATGGCTGCCAGCTAATCCCACCTCCCTGTGATGCTGTGAAGAGGGACAAACTGAGGCAGCACTAATCCCACCTCCTCATAATTACGTGTACCAATCCAAAATACATTTGCCCTTAGATGGAAGATGTTTACTCCTGTCTATAAAAAGCAGCGGACAATTTGAACTGGGGAGTGGGGAGGAGACCCAACCACACTGGTTGCCTTGATGTGTTTTTAAAAAAATCCTTTTAACCTTCTTTCTAGAGTTTGCCTCATTAATCAGTTGTTATTCAATTGTGTTTGACTCTTCGTGACTCCATTTGGGGTTTTCTTTGCAAAGACACTGGTGTAGTTTGCCGCTTCCTTCTCAGGCTCATTTTACAGATGAGGAAAGCAAGGCAAACAAATGACTTGCCCAGGATCACACAGTTAATAAGTCTATGAGGCCAAATTTGAACTCAGGTCTTCCTGACTCCAGGCCCAGTGTTCTGTCCACTGCACCACCTAGCTGCCCTCTCATTATTCAGGGAAAGGCCCTAACCAAGATTTATTTCACATAAGAAATGTTCTAGAAGACAATCAAATGTGGATTCATTAAGCCCTTACTATGTGCCCAGCCTTGTGCTAAGCTCTGAGGATACAAATTCAAAAGTTAAACATTTTCTGCCTTCTAAACCTTGCACTCTAAAAGCACACACACACACACACACACACAGAGGCATACACACACTGTGGATGGGGAAGAGACATTAGAAGCCAGAGGAAATCAGGGGAGGCTTCATATAGAAGGCAGCACTTGACTCAAGTCTTGAAGGAGATTCCAGAGATTCCAGGAGGCAGAGATAGGCAGAGAGATTGTTCCAGGCACAGAGAGCAGCCAATACAAAGTCCCAGAGACATGACATGGAATGTTGTGTGTATGCAGCGACAAATCGGCTGAGATGGCTGAATCACAGGCTATGTGGGGTTTTGTGTAAGAACACTGGAAAGGTAGGAAGGGTTAGTGGAGGTTGTGAAGAATTTAAAATTGTAAAAGCCAAACAGGAGCTTATATATGATTCTAGAAGAAAAAGGAATCCACTGGAGATTGTAGAGTGGTATATGGTGTTGAGGTGGGAGGTAGAGAGGGAATGGCAGCATCAGACCTGCACTTTCGGAATATTACCTCGGCAGCTGTGTGGAGGAGGGATTTGAAGTTGGAAGATGCTTAAGGTAGAGAGGCAAAATAGGAGGCTATTGCAATAATCCTGGAAAGAGATGAGGATGGCCTTCTCTTCTCCCTCTATGCTTACTTTTTTACTTAGGGATCTCATCAATTACCATGGATTCAATCATCTCTAGGCTGAAGATTCTCAAATCTGTTTATTAAGCCTTAACCTTTCTGCTGACCCCCAGTCTGCCATCTCCAAATGTCTATTGGACATCTCAAAGTAGATGGCCTGTAGATGTAGACATCTTATTTTTTTTTTATTTTTTAGGCAATTGGGGTTAAGTGACTTGCTCAGGGTCACACAGCTAGTAAGTGTCAAGTGTTTTAGTCTGAGGTCACATTTGAACTCAGGTCCTCCTGACTTCAGGGCCGGTGCTCTATCCACTGCACCACCTAGCTGCCCCAGATGTAGACATCTTAAACTCAACATGTCCAAAACTGACTTCACGATCTTTCCCCCAAGCCCTCCCATCTTCTATACTTCCCGATTACTTCCAAGGACACCACCATGCTCCCAACCACTCAGACTCATAACCCAAATGTCATCCTCAAATCCTCACCTTCTCTCACTCCTCATCTCTGATCTGTTGGCAAGCCCTGTTGATCTTACCTTCATAACATCTCTCACAAATGCTCCTCCTCTTCTCGGAAACTACCAGCACCTGTTTGGGCCCTCATCACACCATGCTTCGATTATTGCAATAGTCTGTCAGTCTTCCTATCATAATCCTGTCTCCAGTCTATCCTCCAAAGATCAAAGTGATTTTCCTAAAGCAAAGATCTGACCATGTCACACACACACACACACACACACACACACACACACACACACACACACACACACACCTCAATAAACTCCAGTGGCTCCCTATCACCTACAGGATGAAACATAAAATCTGTTGGATATTCAAACCCCCTCATAACTTCTCCCCACCCCATCTTTCCACTCATCTTATACCTTCATGCTTTCTACAATCCAGTGACACTGTTCTCCTTTGGTATTTCTCTGGCTGTTCCCCAGGCCCAGAATGCTCTCTCTCCTCACCTTTACCTCCTGGCTTCCCTGGCTTCTTTCAAGTCCCAGCTAAAATTCCACCTTCCATAAAGAAGCTTTTCCCAATTCCCCTTTAATTCTAGTGCCTTCCTCCTGTTAATTATCTCATTTGTATATAGTTGTATGTTATATCCCACATGAGAATGTGAGCATGGTTTTTCAGTTTATGGCTTTAATGCTTTCTTTATTTGCCTTCTTGCCTTGACTGGTTTGGGAAGGAGCCCAACTCTGTAGTTAGATATGGAGGTAAAACAATGTCACTCCTTTGCTCAAAAATCTTCAGTGGCTCCCTATTGCCCACTGAACAAAGGTAAAACTGACTTTGCCTAGCACTTAAGGCCTTCCACAATTTGTCACCACCCTGACTCCCAAGTTTTTTCATGTATTACAACCCCCTCTATAATGCTGTGCTCCCCCCTAAAAATATCCCTTTCTTTTCTCTGCCTCTGTGCTTACATTTTTCGCTGCCTAGGATCTCCTCCTTCTCCTTTCTCTTCATCTAATGAATTTCTATCTATCCTTTAAAATTCAATTCAAAACACCACTTGCTCTAGGAAGCCTTCCCTGATGGCCCTAGTGGGTAAAAGTGACTTTTTCCCTTTGAACCTCACAAAGCTTGGTGGTCCCTTAGAAGAAATGCCAAAGCTGAACAAGATCTAGTCTAATCCATGATTTCACAGATGAGAAAACTGAGAGAAGAGTGTTGCTCAAGGTAGAATAGGAAATTAGAAGTGGAGGTGGTACTCACCTCCTGATACCAAGGCCAGAGCTTTCTCCCAGGAGTTTTAAAAATCTCTAAATGTAAAAAAGCCATTGGGAAAATAGCAACCCTCAAAAACGATTTTTGCCCTGTGCTGGGAGAGGAATGTAGAAGCTGAGACCCCAGTCCTCCAGAGGTGGAGGGAAGAGGACTGGGAAATTGTCCTGGAACCCTGTCTGATAGCCACAAGGCAGCAAAAATCACTAGGCTGGACTTAGGACAACTCTTTTCTCTGGGCAGCCCACTCCCCACCCCTCTACCACCGAAAGCTTGGCCCCCAGAACAAAAAGAGTCAAAAGGAAGATCAATCAGGGAAGATCCTCAACTCCCAGAGCAAAGCAAAGAGGAAGCACTAGAGAAAAGTGAGAAACCTAGAAAACCAAGCTTGCAGTCAGTTGGGATTCTGGCTCTGTCACTTTGTAGCCCCATTAACCAATAAGAAGTCAGTTAACCTTTTTGGCCTGTTTCTTCAGGATGAAGTAGAAATAACGGCTAGAAAACACTTCATGAACCTTAAAGGGGGCATATATGTTATTTTTATTATCACCTGCAAATTGAATGGGCCCATTCAGTAGTGAGCTCCCCATCACTGGAGGTGTGACAATCTTCTGTCAAGAATGTTCTAGAGGGCATTCTTGTACAGGAAGAGAAGTTGGACTGTAGCAAGGGTTCTTAACTTTTTTTGTGTGTCATGGAGCCCTTTAGTGAAGCCCCTTCTCGGAATGTTTGGGGTTTTTTTATTCATAATCGAAAGAAAAGCTAAGTTTCAGTTACAAGTTAGTGAAAATAAAGACGTAATTTCTTCTCATCCAAATGCATGGATCCCAACAAACCCCCTGGAGACACCTGGTTAAGATCCCTGTTGTTCATCGTTGAGGTCCAACGATATCACGAGCAGGATGTCTTGACTGGCGTGTGAGCTGGACTTGAGTGACACAGAGCTGTACAAAGTCATCAGCCTCACTCTCTCCTCCAGTCATCAGAGTCCAGTGACAGGATAAAGGTCAGAATGACTGGCAGTGGCCCACTGAAGACCCCTAGACTTAAACCTTGAGGTCATTCCCAACGCGACATCTCGAAACAAATGGACGAAAGCTTTGCCCTAAACACTTGTAGGATCCGGACTCCCCCAGTTCTTCCCCCTCAGAGGCCCCTGTCTATGACTCCCCAACCTAGACATCCACAGACCCTGCAAGTCAGCCCATGGGTCTTACTATTTGCCCCATCCTTCACCTCTGGCTCAGCAAACTAATCAAATCAAAACGACCAATGCTACTGGAAAGGGGGTGACAACTGCCCCAGGGTCCCCCCAGACCAAAGCATTCATCCCACTTTCCTACATGGCTGGTTGGCTTCTATCTGAACAGAAGTTTCTTGAGTTCAGGGGCTGTCTCCCTTTTGTATTTGTATCCCCAGTAAAAACTGGTGCTTAACGAATGCTTACTAATTAAACTGGGCCAAAAGAGCCAGTGTGGCATAGTAGAAAGTACACTGGCCCTGGAGCCAGAGGGCTTGTATTCAAATCTAGACACTGCTACCAGTGGGACCTTGAAAGTAAGTCCTTGGCCTACACAAGCCAAGAAGGCCCTTCCTCTTCTGGGCCTCTATTTCCTCATCTGTACAAAATACCCTTTGGGAGGTTCAAAGAGAGCCCATTATTTCATCTGGTCTTCACAGAAGCCTTATTTTACATCTAAAGAAACTGAGGCCCAGAGATGCAGTGGCTTGTTCATGGTCCCATAAGTGACAGTCAGGATTCAAGCTGAGATCTTTTGACTTCAAGCCCAGTTTTCTTTCTACTACACCTCCTTCTTCTTGTCTTACAGCTCTATGCTCGTGATCGGAGGAAGAACGAAACAAACAGGCCTCTTGCCGCCTGCTTCGTGCAGGGCCTCCCAGTGTGGTGCAGTTAACAGGCAGAAGGCACACAGCAAGTGAGTGAGGGTGAGGACAGTTTATTAGTCTCCACGGGGTTGGTGGGGGCAACAGCAGAACCCCTCCCCACTCCAGCTTTCCCCAGCACACTCCCTCCCCGCCTCACAGCAGGTTCTGGGGTCCGGGTAGCATCATGGAATGATACTGTTCCCTTTATCACGACTCTCAGGAATCATTACCCAATTTAGAACCTTTTATTCTCCCCCTACCCCTCATTATATGGAGCTGTTTCCATGACAACCAGCCACCCCAGAAGTCCTTGTCATCATCTCTGGACTTCACAGCTGTGCCCAGGGGAGGGAATAGACAGCTGCACCCCTTCCATCACCCCAGCATGGACACAGACCCCATCCCCACTCAATACAGTTCTCTGTAACCTAAATATAAATACCCTCCCTGCAGCCCCACCCGACCATAGCAGCTCAGGGGTGCCAGGGCCATTGATCGAGGTGCTGGTGGGGGCCCCTCAAGGTGGGCCTGCTAAAGCCACCCCTGGAGTTCATCCGCATAGCCGACTGTGGCCCTGGCCGGGGCTGCCCACCCTCTGAGGCCTTGATGCTGCTGGCTCAGAGTCACCCTCTCCGCCCTCACCAATTGGCTTTCACTGCATTGATGTCGCTCACAAGATTCTGGGCCAAGCAAATGCCAAAGATCTGCAAAATGAAGAGAACCAAGGGGTCAAAGGACAGGTCCTCTTCCACCTCGATCCCATTTTCCCTCCCCATGGCCGCCACACCCTGGTCCAAGGCCCCATCACAACCAGCCTACCCTATTGTAACAGCTTCCTAATAGGTTCTCCCCATCTCCAGTATACCTGGCTGGGGCTGGGTCACCCCATCTCTCCTACCTTCAATGGCCATGGTAGAACCCTAGCTTGAAAATTAGAAAACCTGACTTTGACTCCCAGTTCAGTCCTTTACAAGCTGCATGACGTTGGGTAAATTGCTTAGCTCTCTGCAGGTCAGTTTCTTCATCTGTAAAATGGGGGTATTAATTCTTACACTACCCTACCTCACAGTGTTCTTAGAAGAGCTCTGTGAACCTGAAAGTAAGATGGGACCACAGGATTCAGAACTGAAAGGCACTTTAGGGATCCTCCAGTCCAAGCCCTAAATTTGCTAGGTGATAAAGTTGACCCCAAGAGGTCACAGTCACAGAGCTAGGGAGTCAAACCTGGCCCTCCTCAATCCCAATCCATGGCTATTCCCAATCCATCACTGAAAAATAGGGGCTGCTCTTATGATGATGATGATGCAATATAATCTTAACTCCTTAGCATGACATTCAAAACCCTCTACAACCTGGCTCCCAATTACTTACTAGGCTTGTGTCCCATTACTCCCCCTCACAGGAGATGCCCCAGCCAAACTGGATGACTGAACATTTCCTGAATGCCATCCCACTGACTCCCCCCCTCCCCCACCAATCTTACCTGCCCTTCAGGACCCACCTCAGCTGCCACTTCCTCTAGGAACCCTTCCCTGACCCAGCCCCCACACCCCAGAGCAAAAAGAAATCTGTCCCCCTTCGGAGTGTCAAGAGGCATTTTCTTATCCCTCTTTTACTGTCCTGAGCATGCATAACCTGCCTGGTTTACTGGAGTGACTGGTGTCAGTTTCTTACCACTCACAGGACCGAAGAGGCCAGCTGGTACAACACCTTCTCTGTACAGGGGAAGAATCTGAGGCCTGGGGACATTAAGCGACCTGCCCCGGCAGGTCATACAGGCAATAAGCAACAGAGACAGATCTGAATCCGGGGCCCTCTGACTCAAAATCCAGTGCTTTCCACTACCTTGTAGGAGGAAGAGCAGAATAGAAATTGTGCTGGATTTGTAGTCAGGGGCCCAGGTTCTGTCACTCATAAATGAAAAGTCCCTTAAATTCTCTAGGCTTTAGTTTCTTCACCTGGAAAATAAGATTTTTGGACTAGAGAGTACCTTCTAGCTCTAATCTATCCTGCTGGCCTCTGGCTCATAGAATACTATCAGTTACCTGAGGGCAAGACCCAAGGCTTGGGCTCCTCTGCCTCCCCCTGGGGACCCAGCACAAGGAAATGGCTGATGGACCTGGACCAGCCCAAGTGGGTTAGCCCGAGGCCCCTTAGGATTACAGGGGGTATCCAGGGGATAAGGGAGCCCCCAAGCAGGGCCTGGCTGGCAGTACCTGGAGCATGGCAATGCCCACGAAGACCCCAGCCACCACAACCAGGTTGTCTTGGAGCCACTTTTCAAACTGGCCCACACAGCCTTTTGTGTAGATGAAGCTCTGTTGCTCCAGTTCCTTTGAATCAAGCACAGGCAATTAATACATGTCCACAGATGATCAAGCATCGCTCCCCTACTCACCCCACAGTGTTTATAAAGGACTTTCCTCATAACTACTCTCGGTAGGTATTATCACTCCCACTTTACAGATGAAGAAACTGAGGCTCAGACAGGTTCTTTGATTTGTGCGTATACAATTGTAATAGACTCCTAACTGATCTTCTGGCCTTTAGTCTCACCCTAGTCTTCCCCAGCCCTGAAGCTTCAAAGCGCCCTTCCCAGCAGGGCTCCAATGATGTTCCTAGTAGCTTATAAGTGGCTCCCTACAGTCTCTAAAACATCTTTGTTATTTAAAGCCATTCACAGTCTGGCTCCAGCTTACCAAAAGTCGAATTATTCTTCTTATACTACCCTACGTCAGTGAAGAGCTCTGTGAACCTCAAAGTGAGATAAGACCACAGGATTCAGAACTGAAAGGGACCTGACAGTCCTCCAGTCCAAGTCCTAAATGTACAGGTGACAAAGCTGACCCAGAGTCCCGTGCCCCACCCCCACCCCCAGCACATTCTAAGCTCTTGCCAGACTGGCTTACTTTGCTGGGTTACATTCCATCTCTGATCTCCAGGCCTGCCCACGTGCCTGGAATGCTCTTCTACCTCCCAGGTTCCAAGGCCGAGGTTAACTTCCTCTGGGGTTACTGCCCTATCCCCAAAGACTAAGTTTGCATTTCATTTAGATTCAGGCTCTTCTTATCAGCGTCTAAGTGGCATCCACCCTTCCCCCTACCCCCAGCAGAATGTAAATTCCCTGAAGGCACATGGCAACAGCTAAATAAATGCTCATTGTTTTGACCAAATCATATCTCTGCACAAAAAATTTCAGAGGCTACCCACTGTCCTCTAAATAAAGTATATAAATTCCTGGCATTCAAGGTCCACTATAATCTGATTCCAACTTCCCAGTTAAGTCTTATCTCTCACTAAGTCTACATTTCAGTCAAACTACCTACTAGTCTTTCCTTCTCCTATCTCAAGCTGGGAAGAGACTCTTCTCCCCCCCCCCCCCCCCCCCCCCCCCCCCCGCTCACTCCACACTCCATCTCTAGCTGTGAAAGTCCCTCCAACTCAGAAACTACCTTCCCCTGGAGCCTTTCCTTAACCACCCCATTCCATCCCCACCACCAATAACTGACCATCTCCTCTCCACTTGAAAGTGCCCTCTCCACCCAAAGGAGTCCCAAAGCAAAATTCCTCAGAATCTCTACCCTGGGGAGGCCAAGGTGGTACAGTGAAAACTGTAGGATTTGGAAGCATGGGTTCAAATCCTGGACCTGCCACTTACTAGCTTTGCCTGTCCCTTTTAGCAAGTCTCTTCCTCTCTCTGACCCAGTTTCCTCATCTGAAAAATGGGGATAACAATTTTTGTACTACCTATATCTCATGGCATTAGAGTTGTATGCTGTCAAGGGTAAGGGAAATAGGAGTTCCTTCCAGAGCCTCCTGAGATCTCAGGGACCGCCCAGTCCTCCTAGTAGCAAAAACTGAAGGGCCATGTGGGAAGGGCAAAGTTCTGGAAACCATGCCAATGGAAGAGGAGCTAAAGGAACTGGAGAGGGTCAGCTGAGAGAAGAGGCAGATGGAGAGAGATGTGACATGTCTTAAAAACTCAGAAGGGCTAAGACAGATTCATTCTATTTAACTAACAGCAGCAGAGGAGTTATTGTTTGTTCTTTTCAAAGAGAACCAAAGACACAGGGTGATGTCTTGACTTGTGCACGAATCGGATTTAAGTGAGGCAGAGCTGCAGAAAGTGGTCAGCCTCACTCTCTCTCCCAGAGTCATCCAAGTCCAGCAGCAGGATAAAAATCAGGATGACTACTGATGGCCCAGGATGCAGTGGATGACCTTGGTGTCTTCAATGTCTGCCCAAGGTCTAAGTGCTCCGCAGCACCCGCTTCAGCTGCCTTCAAAGCCATTGAAACAAACTGTTCCCATCCACCCATTCTGCCAGGCGACTGGACACCCCCTAAGGTCTCCAACAGGTTTGAAGCCTGTTGGTTATCCTCCACCTGGCTTAGCCTGTCTGCTGAGACAGTTTTAGCAGGGAGTGGCCACTGTGCACGCTGTTGCTTTTTGGAGCCAAAGGTAAGAGTTGGGTGAATCAGGTGAACACCAAAGGTAGATGAGCAGCCCTGAACAGGGCTCGGCAAGCTCCTACATCAAAGTACTAGTCCTCCTGAACATCCCACATAGGAAGCAGAGGCAAAACCACTGGCTTTATAGTACCAGGAAGAGAAAGTGGGTTCAAATAAGGAAGAACTTCCAACCAATTGGAGTTGTCCATTCCCAGAATCCTCTACATCACTGGAGGTCTTCAAGAAGAGGTTAGACAGCCCTCCCTTGTCAGGGATGCTGGAAGCAGAGATTCCTTCATGTGGTGAGAGGTCATACTAACTAACCTCTAAGGTCCCCTCTAGCCCTGGGATTGTAGACTAGCAACCTTACACTAACCATCGGCTGTAACCCCATGCCCCTCCCCCCAGACTCCAGTCCCACTGGTCCTCACTCCCATATTTCCCCCTTACCAGTTTGAGCCGGACATCATAGCCACACTGGGTATTGAGAACATCCTCCTGAGGAAAAACAGACTTATTAGAGACTGGATCTTTACTCTGTCCTTCAATCAATCAATCAATTAACCAACCAACCAATACTGATTTACTAAGCACTTTGCTAGGAGCTGGGGATACAAATTCAAAAGTGAGTTGGCAGTTCCAGCCATCAAGGAGTCGACATTTTCTTTACTTCTGGGCTTCAGCTATGCTTCACAACCATGCTCGGCCCATCAGATAACACCCCCCATGACATCCTCAGCCTGTCAGGAAAACCTACTGTCAGTAGTCAGAGGCCCCAGATTCTGCCACTAATGAATGAAAAATCACTTATGTTTTCTAGGCCTCAGTTTCTTCATCTGGAAAATAAGACTGTTGAACTAGACAGTCTCTAATAAGCCCTTCAAGCTCTAATCTATCCTACAAGCAGCTCTCACTCCTAGAAAGCTGTCAATTTCCTAAAGGCAGAACCCAAGCATTGGTCTATTCTGTCTTCCTCTCAAGACCCAGCATGAAGAAATGGCTGGCTGACCTATACTTAGTTCTCAGTGACAGGCAAAGGCCCAAAATCCCTTAGGATTTCAAGAGGTACCACAGGGATAAAGGGAGCCCATAAGCAGGGCCCAGCCTGCAGTACTTGGAGCATGGCAATGCTCATGAAGACCCTGGCCACCAAACTATCTCTAAGTTACTTATTACTAGGGCCAAACTGACAAAGATAACGAAAGATAGGAATAGGCAATATTAGAGGGATCAAGGAAAGATGGCAGCCCTAATGCATTGTTGGTGGAACTGTGAATTGGTAGAACTATTCTGGAAAACCACCTGGAGTTATGCAATGAAAATAATTAAAACATCCATAGCCTTTGATCCAGAAAGTCCTCCATAAGGTATATACTGCATGGAAGTCTGACAAAAAGAAGGGACCCCTAGACACCAAAGAATTTATACCAGTAATGGTGGGGTTAGCAAAGGACCAGAAACAAAGCAGACGGCCATCTAGTAATCAGAGAATGGCTAAACAAGTTCTGGTGCAGGAATGTGATGGAATATTCCTGCACTGTAAGAAGCCACTGACACAAGGGACACAGAGAAGCATGGAAAGATGTATATGAACTGTTGCAAAGTGAAGTAAGAAGAGCCACAGGAAAACAACATGTACAAAGACTACAATATGTAAAAGGAAAGCATAATAGCAGAATTGAAAAGGAACAATGGAATTATAGTGACCAAGGCTGGCCCCAAGGAACTGATGGATATGACAAAATACCTCCCCCCGTTTTCCAGATGAAGAAACTGAGGCCTAGCTCTCTGCAGAAATTAGAGAGTGAAATACTGCATACAACATCAGACTTTTCCCCCCCCAAAGGCTGTTTAGTTGTGTGGAATTTTTTTTTCTTTCTTTCTACTTTATTGTAAGGAATGACTCTGGGGAAAAGAGAACTACATGGAAACAGAAATGATATAAGAACAAAAAATATAAATAGAATTTTAAGAAAACAGTCATTACTAGGTTATCTGGAACTCTTAATAGAAACTTCTAGAAACCCACACATTTCTGGGAAGCATAGGTAAATATTCTGTTTACGCTAACATATTCCATCTTCTAAATAAATCATCACCACCAAAAGGAGACCTTCCTTTTTTGAAAATCATAATTTAAAGATTTAATTTTCAGTTCCAAATTTTCCTCCTCCCACTTTGCCCCTACTCACTGAAGAAAAGAAAAACAAAACCCATCACAAATATGTAAATCAAGCAAAACAAATCCATACATTAGCTGGGGGAAAGAAAGAAAGGAGAAAGGGAGAGAAGGAGGGAAGGAAGTATGCCTCAATCTGCACTGAGTTCCTCAGCTCTCTGTTTGGAGGTGGATAGCATGTTTTAGCCAATGGAATGGTGGTTGGTCCTGTTGATCAGAGTGCCTAAGTCTTTCAAAAGTTGTTTATCTTTACAATATTGTTGTTACTGTAAAAATTGTTCAAGGAGATCTTTCAACAAGGCAGCAACTTCTTTAAACGCAGGCCAGGGTGTTGAAAAACTTTCTTTGTTGAAGTTTTTGGGGTTTTCTTTACAAATACACTGAAGCGGTTTGCCATTTCCTTCTCCAGCTAATTTTACAGATGAGGAAACTGAAACAAACAGGACTAAGTGACTTGCCCAAGTCACACAGCTAGGAAGTATCTGAGGCCAGTTGTGAATTCAGGTCTTCCTCACACCAGGCCCAGTCCTCTATCCACTGCTCCACCGCCTGGCTGCCCTTCTTCCTACTACACCACACTGTCTCTATGAATATCATGAACACACTACATCCAAAATTCACCCTTAAGTGGCAAAACCCCACTATATTATCCTTCATCCCATGGGGCTAACTGTCCCGTAGTGCTTTGAAGTCATGCATATGAGGGACCGATGAATACCAGATGGCATCTGCCTGTTTTTAGTGTAAATAGCATCAAATACTTATGCTTTAAAAATGATCCACTTGGGAGACTGAGAACATCCTGTACCCTGGGCCTCCACTCCCCAGGGGCTTGCTACAATTATTGGTAAAAGATGTAGTACAGGCATGAGATTGTCTTTGGCGCTGCTGCAGCTCAGAACTCCCCAACCTGCGTGATTCACCCACCTCAGCCTCACCAGAAGCAGGGACTAGAGGTGTGTGCTGCCAAGCTCGGCAAAAACACATATTTTTTTAAAGAATAACTGGCCTGGGGGCAGCTAGGTGGCACAGTGGATAGAGCACTGGCCCTAGAGTCAGGAGGACCTGAGTTCAAAGCCAGCCTCAGACACATAACACTCACTAGCTGTGTGACTCTGGGCAAGTCACTTCACCCCAACTGCCTTACCCCCGCCCAAAAAAAAGAACTGGCCTAAGGGATATTTAGCCTACAAATCTAGACCCTGGTTATTGTTCTCTTGTGTTTCCCTCAATCAATTTTCTAGAGTTTCATACAGGGCTAGGCACTCAGAAGATATCAAGAACAAAGGACACTTAGTCCTGTCTTCCTCAGATGCGGTCAGACAGCATCTCTTTTTTTTTTTTTAATTAAAAAAATTTTTTTTTTTTGGTGAGGCAATCAGGGTTAAGTGACTTGCCCAGGGTCACACAGCTAGTAAGTGTCATGGATCTGAGACTGGATTTGAACTCACATCCTCCTGACTCCAAGGCCACAGCTCTATCCACTGCGCCACCTAGCTGCCCTCAGACAGCATCTCAAGGATGGTGTCCACATCTGAACACTATTTCAGAAACATCACTGATAAGCTGGAAGACAGTCCTCAGGAATGCGACAAGCATGAGGAAAGGCCTGGAAACCACGACACCTGAAGATGGATGGAAGAACTAGGGATATCTGTATCCGAAATGAAAAGGGTCTTGAAAATTGTTTTCAAGAGTGACCTTGGACAAGTGATTTCACTTTCTAGCCTCATTTGTGTCATCTGTAAAATGAAGAGTTTGTGCTAAATAATCCCTAAGTCCGCTCCCAACCCTGAAATACTAAGATCACAAGTATCTGAGAGACTATCATGGGGAAGAGGGATTAGATTTATTTCGCTTGGTCCCAGAGGGCAGAATTAGCTCTAGTGATTACAAACAGCAGAGATGTTTTAGTTCCATATGAGGAAAAACTTTCTCATTATTAGAACCATCCAAACGTAGAATGAGCTGCCTTGGGGGATGGTGACAGGGAAAACCTCTACCATGGAAGGTCTTCAAGGAGAGGCTAGAAGACCACTCATCAGGGATGTGGTAGGGGAAACTCATGCCCAGGCACCAGGGACCCTAGAGATCTCTAAGATCCCTTCCAGCTCCGAGATCACTGCCAAGTTTCCCCAGGCTGTCTTGATGCATCTAGATCAATCCACCCTAGGCTAGACTCAAAGCCTAGCAGGTCCATCCATAGACACCCCACAGCCTCTAGGCCACTGGATTTCCCAATATCAGTGCATCACGAGGTTAAGAGATTGCTTGGTACAATGGACAGACCACTGTCTTTTGAGTCACTGGATCTGCATTCAATTCTCAGCTCCAGTAGTTTCTATTTGTATGACTGGGCAGGTCATGTTTCCTCTCTGGGGCCTGTACTTATACCACCCTCCCAGGACCACTGTAAATCTTAAAGTGCTACAGAAATGTGAACTATTAAAGTCCCTCCCAGTCCTGACATTATATATTCTAAGGTCCCTCCCAGCCCTGACAGTCTATGTTCTAAGGTCCCTCCCAGCCCTGACATTCTATGTTCTAAGGCCCCTCCAAGCCCTGACATTCTATGTTCTAAGGCCCCTCCCAGCCCTGACATTCTATGTTCTAAGGCCCCTCCAAGCCCTGACAGTCTATGTTCTAAGGTCCCTCCCAGCCCTGACAGTCTACATTCTAAGATCTCTTCCACTTGTGACATACTGTGTCCTACAATCCCGTCAAGGGATGACATTATATTTCATGTTCTAAGGTTCCTTCTAGTTCTGCCATGCTAGGTTTCTATAAGTGCAGAAGAATGGAGAAGTATGGATAATGAAAACATTTTCTGTCCCATCAGAGGGTACTGAATTGGGGGTTTTTTTGGTTTGATTCAGTTTTGAGGGGAGGGTAGAAGGATTTTTGCCTACCTAAAGGTGCTTTGCAAACTAAGGCCAAAGAGAATATTAGTTTACCCTTCTTAGACCCTGCACCTCCAAGGTAAAATGCCAACCAGGCATGGTATCTAATCCATAAGCAAAGAGAAATGACCATCTATAGAGAACAGCATGCTAGTAAGGTGGCCTCTAGGCAAATGGGAGCTAAAGCTTGCAACACTCAGGAAGGAGGCCAGAGTGGAGTGACCACTTTTCTCAGTCCTCGTCCCACCAGGCTGGAGCTGCTGCCACCATCCCTGCCCAGCCCAGCCCAGCCCCTGCTCACCGCAGGATCCTTGACACAGCAGGAGAAGGGCACCCCACAGCGCTCACGGCTGGGGTTCCAGTCAGTGCAGTTAAAATAGATGTTGAGGTTCCAGTCGCTGGGCCCTCGGGCTCCGCAACATGACCACTGGGAGGAAGAGGAGCCCGGGTGAGAGAATGGGACAAAGGGAGACCTCCTTACAACAAAGATCCCTCCCTTCCCCAAGGCTCTGTCCCCTGCCAGATCCCCAGTACACAATGCCCAAGCCCTGCCAGGCCTGGCCCCATCGGCAAGGACCCCTGACTCAACATGATGTGGTCAAGTACTTGCTGTGGTACCCAATCCATCCCATGACCTCTACCCGCATCTGAGGTCTACCCAGACCTTTGGCCCCTGCTCTGGAAGGAAGGTAGCACCACCCAAATCAGGCCAGGAGCAGAGCACCCCTCCCCTAAAATAGACCTAAGGCTAAAAGAACCAGGTGTAAGCTCCTTGAGGGCAGGGCCTGTTTCATTTTTGTCTTTGTATCTTCTATACTTAGTAGGGTCTGGTATATAGTAGGTACATAATAAAGTAATAAAATTAAAAGTTGTAAAGTAATAAAATAATAAAATTAAATTACTGATTGATGTGGGCCTCAGCTATTAAAAAAAACAAACTGGAAAGCTTCCCTTCTTTCTAGAAGTCAGTTTCAGATGAGTCCTCAGGACCCTTTTGGCCCATCCAAAGAAAGGGGTATCTAGTATGAATTTGGGGGGTGACCTGTGTGCCCAACGGGAATGTTTATGATTCTTTCTTTCTTCTTCCTCCTTCCTCTCTTTCTCCTTGGTCTGAAGACAATGAAATAAAAACAAGGCACTTGACTGGCAGAGAGAAAACCTATAGTTGATGGACCATTTAAAAATCCCACCATTAAATGATGGTCATTTAACACCTCATGTGACCTTGGGCAAGTCCCTTCCCTTCTCTGGGCACAGACGCCTTTATCTGTAAAATGAAGGGGTTAGATGGCCAGAGATGGCCTCTGAGGTCCCTTCCATCTCTAAATCTACAATCCTATAAACCTATGAATTTGTGTATATTTTTTTCTCTTGAATGAGCTCCACCCAGAGAGCCCAAGGAGGCAAATTCCAAAAACAAAATGAGGGTTCTCTGAGAGATCTTCCTTTATGGCCAAAAGGGAGCAGGACGGTGTGGGGTTGGGGGGTGGAGGGGTTAGCCTAGAGAGGAAACAGAAAGTGCAGGACTCAGGAACAGGAGATCTGGGCCCAATTCATATTTCTGACTACTATCTCACTACTGTTCCTTTAACTAAAGATGGGATTGGACTTGAAGACCTCTGACATCCTTTCCTACTCTAAAATTCTCTGATCCTAGGAGTTGTGTGGCTACTGGGAGTCATTGCTCTGTTTCTTCCATCAGTAAAGAAGGGATAATAAATACTCAGAAAACTGTGCTCAGGTTTCCCCACCCATCCAATGCAGGCTGGGACAGGATGGATTGCTTTAATACACCTTAAAATGACCTTCCCCTGACATGGCCTGGGACCAAATCCCAGCTCTGCCACTGAATACCTCAGATGACCTTGGACGAGTCCCTGCCCCTCTCTGGCGCTAGATTTCTTTATCTGTAGAACGAAAGGATTAGATGGCCAGAGATGGCCTTGGAGAGCCTTTCAGCTCTAAGTCGATAATCCTATAAACCTATGAATTTATATATTTTTTCTCTTGAAAATAATACTTCAATATATTGTAAATACATCCTAGGAAAACATTCTCTGGCTCTTTAGCCAAGCAGGGAAGAGGAAAAAGTGAGAAATAGGTGCTGGAACCAGACAACAAGAGACAGTGACCAATGGGAAGGTCAGCAGGCCCAGGGCTAAAGGGTGGAATGCAAGAATCAGGTTAGTTGAGAAAACAATAAAAGGTATGAGCCTGAGGGTTGAGGGTCACCAAGTCTGAAAAGGAGCAGAAGATGGATCTGGGAAGGCCTAAGGTCAGAGGCAAAATCCTCTTAACCTTTTTGGTGTCCTGGGACACCTCCATGGAAAAATGTTTCTAAATCCACAAAATACAACAAAGGGAAACATAGTCATTTGTTTTTTAAAAAGTTCCCAGGACCCCAGGTTAAGAACACTGCTGTATCTACCACTTTGCATGAGGCCATGGAGTCAGCCTTTACCAGAGAAGGGGACAGGCATGCTCAACGGAAACAGGAAACTAGCTGGGAGTATTGGCAGGAGGCAATCCAAGCAGAAAGATCTAGGATCCTTTCTGGGGTTCATAAGGGGAAGGACTAATGAGAAGGAGGGACGGAGACAGTAGGAGGTGCCAGAACAAAAAGAAAGCAGGCAGTGTCTGATGTCTGATCAACAATGGGGAGACGAGAGAAAAAAGGGTCAGTAGTGGCTAAAGACTGGATTTCCTCTGAAGACCTTCTCACAAACAATGGCTGAGGGGACCTACTGTGTTAGTTTTAAGGCAGAAGCAGCAATCTGTGAATCAGACCCAGCTAAGCAGAATGAGAGAAAAGTTTGGGTCTGTGCCCACTTAACTTGAGAGCCCCAGGACAGCTGCAAACTCCCGTCAGTAGTGAGAGTTAGTGGCTGAGAGCCACAGAGAACTAAGGAAGCCAGTAGCAGCAAATCCAAAGGGTGAGGAAAGTGCTCCAGTGACCTAAAGACTGCACAACGTCCCGTGATTCTTCCAGAGGCAAAGAAGGAACAATTAGGTATATGCAAGATTTAGGTTAGTCTCTCCACTAAAGAAGGTAAAAAGGGCAGAAAGAATCTTTCAATATACCAGGAGTTTTTAACCTTTGTGTGTGTGTCCTGGACCCCCTTTGGCAGTCTACTGAAGCTTACGGACCTCTTTCTCAAAATAATGTTTTTAAACAAACAAAACAAAATGTATAAGCTTACAGAAGAAACTAATTATATTGGAATGCACTTAGCAAAATATTTTCTTCAAAAGACAACTTTAGGGACCCTGGGTTAAGAACCCAGGTCTGCTGTAGGCACTCCACCTTAGCAGTGTGAATGAAAGATTCCTGGAAAGAATGGAAGAGGTGCTTTTAGTGAACAATGAATAAAATTAATTTGAGACAGAAAGAATTCCTAAGCTGTGTCAGAAGGCTGGAGCACAGAAGAAGCCACAGAGAAGGAAAGAAAGGATTGCTAAACCTTTGAGGCTATGGCACATTCTGAGGCTTTTTCCAGAAAAGGTGGGGCTGAACCCTTAGAAGAGAAAGCCAATTTCTCCTCTGATAATGAGGACCCAAACCAGGGTATTGATCCCAGGAAAAAGAGAGGAGCAGTGATCCTTGAGAGAGAATCTATCAATGACCATGAGTAATAAATAGGGAGGTATGCTGCCTTCTTAGACCACAAAACTAGGATGTGACAGAAAGCTTCAAAAGACTGTCAAACCTGACATTTCTAGTGATTCTAAGGATATACAATATTGTTAAAAAGAACCCAGAAAGCATCATGAAGGATTTGGAAGGCCTGGGAAGGAAACTAATGACCTTAGGGACCCAGGTGATGTTTTCATTGTTACTATCCATGGAAGAACAAGGGCTTCAGAATGGAAAGGCAGATTTGGGAAGTGAACAGCTGGTTAAGAAGATCATGTCTTGAGAGCAGGATTTGGATTTCTAGCCTACATGGGCTAGTACATCCCCAGTACCAAAAGAACAGGCAGATATGATGGCTGAGCCACCCTCGGTGATCTTTGGAAAACTGTGGGCAACAGAAGATGTGCTACTAGGGGACTGGAGATGGGCAAATGTCCCAATTTCCTGGATTCTTCAACTACAGGTTGGAGAGCTCTAACACTTACTAGTCTTATGGCTAACTTTTTTGAGCCTGTTTCCTCCTCTGTAAAATGGGAATAATACTTATGACGTGCTACCTTACCAGCTTATTGTGAAGAAAGAACTTCACAAACATTAAAGTACTACAGAAACTTAAGTTTTTTTTTTTTGCTAGGGTTAAGTGACTTGCCCAGGATCACACAGCTAGTAAGTGTTATGTGTCTGAGGCCACATCTGAACTCAGGTCTTCCTGAATCCAGGCCCGGTGCTCTATCTACTGCGCTACCTAGCTTGAGTCTTGAGTTTTTACTTTGTATTTGAAGGCAATGATAAAGTTACTCCCACCACACAAACATACAACCCTTTCCTCTCTCCAACCTAAAAATATGTGACCTAAACCAGATTGCTGCCCTGGATCACCACATTATACGGGAGGTAAAACTGCTGGATTCTCCTCTTGTGAGCCCTCCTTCCTCATCCTCCTAATCCTACTACCCCCCATGGAGAAAAGTCCGGGGCACCCGTAGGACCATGGTTGAAACTGTGATGACTCACATATTCCTGAGCAAAGTCGATGAGGTTTTGCAGGTCAATATCATCCCGATAGGCCTTGACGTTGTTGTTGATGAATATATTGAGCTGGTCTCTAATCCAGTCCTTGAAAACGAAGGCCAGGATTCCTGTGGCCAGCTCCAGAAAGAAGATGAGGCCAAGGAACACCGAGAACTGGGAAGAAGGTGGATGGGAGTGGGGGGGGAGGGGACACAGAGTGAATGGAAGATGGTAGAATCCAGCTTGAATCCTACCCCCAGCCCTGAACCCACCCAGATTAAGGAGGTAATGGACAAGGGCAAAGGCAGGCTGGAGTAGTGAAAAGAATGCTAGACTGGGAGTGAGGAAACCTAGTGAGGGCTCTAGTCCTAGATCTGCCACTAACCTGATGTAGATTATTTCTAATCTCTAGGACTCAGTTTCCCAATTTACAAAAAAGATTGTTGGCCTAGATGACCTCTCAAGGCCTTTTACATATGGCCCCCACCCCTGAGATAGATGATTCCTGCTCCAAGGTCTACCAGAAGACTGAAGTGGGGTTAGGGGGCAGGCAGGGAAAGGCCTGCTTGAGATTCAAATTTTTACTCCCCAGTCTCTTCTTAATTTCCATAAACTTGCCTCCTGTCAGCAGAACCACCTTAGACCCATGGCTACAGATCAGATGTTACTAGAAAATAGGTACAGAAAGGTACTGAGGGTAAGGGATTCCTTTCAGAGGCAGCAAAAGGGCATTCATTGATGAAGGAGCCAACCTTGGGCTCCTTCCACAGTGGGGATGTTGTCTTCTATTTTTAAGGTGATGAAAGCCTTGTATCCACACAGCTGACAAAGTGATTTTCCTAAAACACAGCTCTGACCATGTCACCCTCCTATTCCAGGAACTGCGATGGCTCCCTATTACCTTCAGGATCAAATATAAACGCTCTTCCAGCCTGATTACGTTCTATACCTGCTACGACCCATTCCCCCCATCCAGAGCCCCAATTCACTCTAACCTTCCTGATGAGGCACCATCTCTCTGTCATTACTTCCCAAGTCTTCTGGACCATGCCATTTGCCCTGTTACTCCCCCTAAGAACCACCTGGGTCTTTTTATCTGCCACCAACTGAACATGAACCCTGTTATATAGGCTGTCTCCCTCAATTAGAACGTGAGCTTCTTGAGAGCAAAGACTGTCTGGATTTTCACTTTTTATACCCAGCGAGTAGCCAGGGGTTTCCCTCATAGAAAGCATTTAACAAATACTTTCCCATCCCATTTACCCTCCCTATGGCCCAGCCAAATTGGCTTTCTTGCTATTCCTCCCATCTCCATGCTTTTACCTTGGCTGTCCCCCATGCCTGAAGCACACTTCCTCCTCACTCCACCCTCACAGTCTCTTTTGAAACAGCTCAAGTGGTACCCTTTACATGAAGCCTCTCCTGATGCCCCTAGCTACTAGTGCTCCCCCTCCACGCTCCTTTCCAAATCAGCTCTATTTGGTACGCACGGTGTGTTGCTGTCTAATTGATCAGTTGTGTCCAACTCTTTGTAACCTCATTTGGGATTTTTGTTGGCAAAGATACTGGAGCGGTTTGCCATTTCCTTCTCTAAATGTATATTTACCTGCCTATATATGTACACATTGTATCCCCTGATGGAACATGAGTTCCTTGATGGCAGGGATTGTTTGGTTTTTTTCCTTATATCCTTATAGCATAGTACAATGCTGGCATATAGTAAACATTTAATAAATCTTTGCTGATTAATTGATTGATTTCTGGGCATTTACTAACTATGTGATACTGGATAAGTCATGACATATCTCTAAACCTCAGTTTCCTCATTTAAAAATTGGATATTATAATATTTGCATTACTTCCCCCTAAGAGAACTGTTGCAAGGCAAGTAAAAAAAAAATAAAGTAAAATAAAGTAAACCTTAGAGTGCTATAAAAATGGGAGGTCTTTTTTTTAATCTTTCCCTTGGGAAAAGAGGGCAAAGGTGCGGGGCAGCTGGCAACTCCTCTAAAGTCACAAGGTCATATTTCTAGAATTAGAAGGGACCTCACAGATCATCTAGTCCAACCTCCTCATTTTACAGATGAGGAAACTGAGGCCTGGGGAGGTGAAGTGTCTTACAAGTCATACAGGTAGTAAGAACCAGAGGAGAGATTTGAACTCAGATCCTCTGGCTCCAGAGCCTGGCTTCTTTTTCCCATATCACACAAGTTGTCTTCCAATGTCTTAGCACAGAATGATTCAGGCTCTGACAAGGGGAATAGCCCAGCAATGGATTGTATATCCTACAGTCAAAAGACCGGCCTAGCTAAGTGTGCTCTGGAGGCTCATCAGCTGGAAGATGGTCACCAGGGGATGAATATTTTGAGCCACAGCAGCTCATGAAGAGACTGTCTAGCAGGGCATGGCGCCACTGTGCTCTAACCCTGCATCATGGATTTTCTGAAGAACCGAAGACCAAAAAAGTTAATCGAGATTTTATTTCTGGCACATAGCACTGTACCTGGCACACAGAAGTGAGAAAAAAAAAACACACCAAAAAACTGGTTGATCGATTGACTGCTGCATCCTTAAAGTATTTATGTAGGCTGAACTGCCTAGACCAGCCATGCCGCTGGGAGGCTTACCGATAGGTACAATTGAGCCTGGTATGATTGAATGAACCAATAATCCTAAGCCAATGGTCCCAAATAAACAAATCTCAAATTGAGGTTTGGGGAAAAAAAAGTCTGGGACTAGAGGTACTTTTATTTGCTAGAAAAAAATAAAGGATCATAGATCCAGAGCTAGAAAGGACCTTGGAAGTCATTTAGCCCAACATCCTCATTTTATAGATGAGGAGGAAGTGGAGGCACAGTGAGTAGGTGGCAAAGATAGGTTTTCTACCCAGACCCTCTAACCCCAAGGCCAATCTTCTTCTATTACCGAACCTCACACTGTCTCTTCCCCAGGCAGCTAAACACCTTGGGTTAGGGCTTCCAGCACAGAAAGGATAATAGGCCAACCTTGGCCTGGACAACTGTAGTGAGAGATGACTTAGGAAGTCTAAGGACTGCCTAATCTGGCAAGGGAAAGTTTCCTTTTATATTTATTTCTAATTATATTCTCTCTTAAAAATGATTTCTCAAATTGTTCCAAGCTACCTTGGCTGAGCTCCCCGAGTCCAGCATGGGTCACTGGCCCTTATTTTCTGCTCACCCACTTCAATAGGTGACTCCTCCCCCAGTACAAAGGCTTACAATCCTTTAATAAATAACCTCCTACACCCCCAGGGGAGAGGGAATAACCCCTCACACTTACAAACTTGAGTAAGAAGGTGTTCTCCCGAAGGGCCCCGATGCAGCCTGCGAAGCCCAGCACAGACATGATACCTCCAATCACCACGAAGAACCACACGGGATCCAGGCCACTCAGGTGGGTGAGTGAGGAGATGTTGGAAAGGACACCCTGAACACAGAGCATGCAGGGAGGAAGGCTGAGAATCCCAGAAACAGTCCCACCTCTACCCCAACAGCCTACCCAGGCTGCCTCACCTTTGCCCAAACACTCCATCGCCTCAGGGCTCGGACCCAAACACCCCTCCCTTGTTGCCTCACCACTGGTGCTTACCTTCTCTCCCCAGGCCCACAAGCCTATGATCAGCAACACAGCCCCCAACAGCTGGAGAAGTAAGAAGAGGGAAATCAGGTATGTCTGCTAGGATAGGGCAGCAAAGGCCCCACACTCTACTATTCCCGTTATGTTCTCCACCCCAATGACAGTCCTGCCTGCCCCAGCCATCCTTGACCCCACCTTGGGGAATATGTACCTGAAAGAGCATGGCATTGTCCCCAGGGGCTACTTGGTCCCCAGAAACCTCTGCTCTCCTGATGCCTGGGCCTTCAGGGGTCTGGAGCAAGAGGGACCAAGAGTGAGATAGAAAAGGAGCCCCTCCCCATTAGCTCAGTTGTTTGTGTCCCAGTTTTAACTCGAACTTTGTAACCTTGGGCAGAAACTTCTACTTTCTGAGTTTTACTTTTATCTCTAACAACAATGATATTTATATTATACAAAAAGATAAGAACAAGGTAAGTGGGGATAAGAAGAAAAATGAAAACAAGACAATAATAATTCATTCTTATAAAGCACTTTATGATTTGCAAAGCACTTTTCTCAAACCAATCCTGTGAGAGCATACAACAAAAATACCAGCCCCATTTTACAGATATTCTCATCTGTCTCAAAGAAGCTAAGTGACCTGCCCAAGGTCATACAACTATTAATTGTCAGATATGGGATTTAAACCCAGTTCTCTCCTAATCCTCAAGTCCAGCAAATATTCCTTCCTGCCCTACATTGCCTCTCCAGAATCTGTAAAAATGGGGGGTGATAATACTGATACTACATGCCTCATGCAGTTTCTAGGAAAGTATGTTAAAAACTTGAGAGTGCCTATGGAAATGAGCTAACCCAATTACTATTAACTATACGTATTTCCATAGTGCATTGAAGTCATTAAAGAGCATGAACAGCTAATTCATAAAAAATGATTTCAACTAGCAACACAAAGCAGTAAATGACAGCTGTCAAATGAGTGGGGCAGACAGTCTGAGGGTGGTAAGCCTAGCTAAGAAGTCAATGCAAGCATCCCATAGAAAGGAGATAAGGGAATAGAGAAGGAGGAAAAGATGAGAGATCTTAGTGACTGTGTGACTTTGAGGGGCAAGGAAGCAGGAATCACAGATGACTTGGCAGAAACTGGGGGACCAAATCAGGGAGCCTCAGACTTCTCAAGTGTGGGATGAGTAATAAATATATGTTACCCCAGAGTAGAGGGGCCAATTTCCTGCTCAGGTTCTCTCTCATGAGGTTATGAGAGCACTATGTGGACAGACTTCTAGATAAGGAGTGAAATGTTCTGGATTCAAATTTAGGCTCAGCCACTTATAGCCTGTCTTATATGGCCTTGAGGAGGTCCTCTTTGGCCTGTTCCTCTCTCCCCTGCCCCTGCGGCCCCCCTAAAATGAAGGAGTTAAACAAGAAGTCCCTCCCAGACTTAAGTCAATGACCCTAGGATGATCTCTAAGGTTCCTTCCAGTTATAAATCCTATGCAATAAGCTGACACCAAGGCTCTCAGCCAGTTGAAAGGGCTAGATGAGACCCTTTGTGTCCACTCTCTGACCATTAGTCACTATAGCTGAAGAGCTCCCTCCCAAGAAGAGGGTCTTGGATTCAGGCTAAAGGAAAAGCAGGACTAAGCTAGGGGAGCTGGGGAAATTACAATGATAGAGAGGGGTAGGAAAAATAATGGTATACAGAACAGGCCAGAGCTAGCAACTGGCCAGGAGAAACAGGCCCTGCTCAGCATAGGGGCCACACCTTACCCCAAAATGTGGAGGTGAGGGCAGAGGTAGGATTCTGCAACTCTGTCTCTCCACTCACCCTGTTCCTGGGTGGCCAGGAGAGCCAAGTACTCAAATCCCCCTTAATTAAGTCCTATAAGGGTGACTCTCCTCCTAGAGAGAAGACTGGAGGGTGCGGATGGGGTGAATCTCTAAGATCCTCCAAAGAAATACCTTCCCAGATATACTTCAACCCTTCTTTCCCAGGTCTGGAGCAGCCGGTAGGCTGGGTCTTTAAATAGGGCCCCTGCAGGAGAAGACCTCATGCAATCGATTCCATGGGGAGCTGTGCCCCCCTTCCCCCCAGGCCTGAGGAGCAGCAAGTCTAGTCTACCAATGGCTGGCCAAGAGGACAGGCGACCCCTCCCAGACCCCTTTCCTCAGTATTCTCTTCCTCTCCCTTTCCCCAGGAAAGAAAGCCGTGTGGGTGGGGGCAGGGCAGCTCCCCATGAACCCCAGGGAAAAAAGGGGGTGGGGTGTAGCTCCTCCCCTCCCCCTCTTCCCAGGGAAGGGAAGGAAGGCGACTCTCCTCGGGAAGCCCAGGAAATGAATGGGGGAGGGTGGTGTGGGGGGCAGCCTCCCTCGCCCGCCAGGAAGCCCCGAGATGGGGTGCAGCCGGATCGTTCCCTCTTCCCCCGCCCCCCACGGCCTCACCCCCACCCCACTCACCCAGAAGACAATGTTGAAACCGAACAGGAAATATTTTCCGCAGCAGCCGACCTCGGGCTCCTGGAAGCGCTGCTGCTTGGCCGGCATGGTGAGCAGCCGGGGCGGCCGCCGCGCGCTGGGAGCCGCTCGCCCGGGGCCGGGGCCCGTGGCCCGCAGCAGCCCTGGGTTAGCGCCGGCCCCGGGCCTGGGCTGGCGGCCTCGGCTTCATGGCTGAGCCCACGCCGAGGCCCCGCCCCCCCGTCCCCGGCTCCGCCCGCCCGCCGGCCTCCTCCTCCTCCTCCCCCCACCGCCGAGGACCGCTAGCGGCACCAGCCGGCCCGGGACCCCCGGCTCTCCCTGCCGGGCAGCCCCCGCCTTGGGGACCTGGGCAATGCTACGGTGCACTGGCTAATGCAACTGTGCACTCGCGAATGCTGCGCCTCCTAATCGGTCTCTCTGCTTCGTGCCCCGGTCCGTGCTCCGCCACCTCGGACACAGATATATTCCTAAAAGTACCATTCTGGCCACGTCACTCCCCTGCTCAAGAAGTTGCAGCGGCTCCCTGTTGTCTCTAGGACAAAGCAGAAACTGCTCTGTTTGGCACCCAAGACTTCCCAGTCTGGCTCAACCTTCCGTTGCAGGGCTCCTTACACTTTACTTCCCTTTAGGCACTCTTCAGTTCCAGCCAGACTGTTCTTCCTACACTGAATTCCATCCCCACTCCTTGGCACAGGCTGTGCCTTATGCCTGGAATCTGCTGGGCCCTCACCTCCTGCCTCAGGGAATCTCTAGCTTCCTTTCAAGTTTTACAGAAGAGCTTTCCTGATCCTCCTAGCTGAGAATAGTGGTCCTCCATCTGAATTTACTTTGTATATATCTTGTATTCATATGTGTATGTTATTTCCCCTGATCCAGGGCTAGGTCTGTTTCATTCATGTCTCTCTATCCCCAGCTTCTAGCATTTAATAAATGATTGATTGGGTTCAACGTGAGTATCATCACCCCCAGCTTCTCAAGAACAACTGAAACTCACCAAAGTAAGGATGAAAAGCAGACTAGACTGGGAATCAGAAAACATGGGTTCAGATCCTGACTTTGCCTTTTACTAGCTTTGTGACTTTGGGCAAGGCACTCAGGGTGTAGGGATCGACACTGTGAGATGAGGCTAATAATGCTTGCACCACCCACCTGGACAGGATTGTTGAGGGGGAAACCCTTATAGAGTGTTACATATTCTTTTAAATCGGAGCTAATAGGTTATTATTCATTCTCAGACTTTCTTTCTGGCTTCCACATCTCCTGTCTCAGTTCAGACCTTGGTCACCTCTTATAATAGCTTCCCAATTTCGTTGTCCCCCTGCCATCCATCTAGCACAGTGGGTCACCTTCTTCTTGCAATCATGCCACTTCGTTGTTCAGAGACTTTTCAATAGCTACCCCTCCAAAGAAGTTCCCATACTATAAAGACAGAGTTCCTTGAACATGGGAAGTTTGTTTATTTAAAAAAAAAATCTGGCACTCTGGGTTTTCCATTCATCTCTTCTCTCACGTATTTTCATCTGGAAGAAGCTTCTAAAATGCTCAGGTCTCCAGACCTAAAAAAGAAAAAAACCCCAACAAATCCCTTGACCCTTGTTCCTCATATCTAGTCTTTCCTCCCATTTTTTAACTGATAAAATTCTTTATTTTATTTTAAAAGTCTATTTATTTCTTTTAATTTATATTTCTATTTTATTTCATTCAACATTCACTTTCACAAGATTTTGAGTTCTAAATTTTTCCTCCTCCCAAAGATGGCCTGCAATCTGATATAGGTTATACATATTAAATATATTTCCACATTAGTCATGTTGTAAAGAAGAATCAGAACCAAAGGGAAAAACCACGAGAAACTTTAAAAAAAAAAAGAAAAGAAAAGAGAAAACTGTATGCTTTGATCTGCATTCAGACTCCATAGTTCTTTGTCTGGATGTGGATAGCATTTTCTATTGAGAATCTTTTGGAGTTGTCTTAGATCCTTGCATTGCTGAGAAAGGCTAAGTCTATCAAAGTTGGTCATCGCACAATGTTGCTGTTACTGTGTACAGTGTTCTCTTGGTTCTGCTCACGTCACTCAGCATCAGTTTATGTAAGTCTTTCCAGGTTTTTCTGAAGTCTTCCTGCTCATCACTGACCAAATTCTTGAATAAGTTGTCTAGGCTTTCCGTACTCTCAACCTCCTGTAATCTTGGGAAACCTCAATGACTCTTCTGAAATTATTTGTTTCACTTGTTCACTTATTCACTTGTTACTGCAGTCCTCATGCTGAACATATCTGTAGCTTTTGACATTATTGGTCCCTCTTACCTCAGCATTCTTCTTCTCTTGCCTTCAGAGATTGCATGTTTTCGTACTTCTGACGTGTCTTTATCTATCTGTGTGACCTCTTCCTGACCCCTCCTCTTTCTGTACTCATTACCCAGTCCCTAGGCAATTATATTCAATCCCCTCTAGGCAGGTGATTTCCAGTCCAACCTCTCCAGCCCGACCAGCCCCAGCCCAATATTTCCAAAGATAAGCCTCATTCATCCAGTCTCTCACATTTCTAACCTTGGAGTTATCTTTCACTTTTCCCTCCCTTTCACATACAGTTGCTAAATCCTGTTGATTCCCACTCTGGAACATCTCCAATTGAGCCATTCATTCTGGTGGGCCACGACCCACTGTCACCCTCATGGCCAAACACAGGGAGAGACTTTGGGCATAGGAGGCATTGTACAGACAGGAGAATCAGACTAGCCAGAGCTTAACAACAATAACAATAGTTAATATTTGTAGAGTGCTTTAAAGATTTGCAAATTGCTTTACAAACATTCCTTTATCCTCACAACTCCAGGAGGTAGGTATTATTATCTCCATTTTACAGATGGGGAAATTGAAGCTTAGAAAGGTTAAATTATTTGCCAAAGATCACACAGCTAAGTTTCTGATTAGGATTGAAGCTGGCTCTTTCCAATTCTAAATCTGGCATTGTGATAAATAAATTTCAAAGGAACATGTGACAAGAGCTTGTTCAATAATCCTACATAGGAGTCAAAGAAAAAAAAACTACAACAGAAATATTACTGGTTTCAAAGTTGTCCAAATGCTCAAGCCACCCTTCTCAGGAGGTGAGCACAGAGGATGATTATAGCCTGGAGAAACAGAAGAGAGCCTTAGACACCAACTAATCCCACTCTGACCAAACATGAATCCACTCTAGGGCATCCCAGAACTCATTCCAGGAAAATGAGGTGAGGCAGCTCTTAGGTAGTAGATCAAAACAAACAGTGCCTGCCTACCAGAGGCTTTCATTAGCTCACTGTGCTACCCTGGGCAAGTGACTTTTTTCTCTTTCTGGGATTTCATTTTAAGATCATAGGACTATAGATTTAAAGCTGGAAAGAGCATAAGAAATCACTGAGTCCAACCCCCTGTTTTATAGACGAGGACATTGAGGCACACTGCTTAAATGACTCACCCAAGTTCATACATCTAGTATCTTCAGTGACATCTGAACCCAAGTTTTCCTATCTAAAAGTCTATAACTTTATAACCTGGTAACCTTTATTTTCTACATTTTTTGTTTATTTATTTTTGCTTTTTCACTTGACAGACACAGTTGACAAAACTGACTGAAGTTGCCCTGGTCTCTGTTCCCAGGCCTATAAATTGCCTAGAGCTGACCAGACATTGCCCCTTCTATCCTCGGATTCCTTTGTAGCTCTCCCAAAGTCTCTCCTCTAGAGATTCTCAAGTTTTCTTTATGGACTTTTGCTTGTTATCCAAAACAACTTACCCAGCGGAACTGTAAGATACCTAACCCTCCCACCAGCAACTTAATCACTCTCTCTGTCTTGGTACTCTTTTTTTTTTTCTGTGAGGTAATTGGGGTTAAGTGACTTGCCCAGAGTCACACAGCTACTGAGTGTTATGTGTTCAAGTCCTCCTGACTCCAGGGCCGGTGCTGTATCCACCGCACCATCTAGCTGCCCCCTTGATACTCGTATAAACCCTGTACCCAGCCCCCCCCTCCTAGGGTACCCCTGGGTACCTTGAGCTACAACTCCTCTGCCCCATTAAAGACCCCCGTTTTGTTGTATTGACTGTTTTCATTTAAAATTCATGTTGACACACTAGAACTGTGATTTAGTCCGTAGAGAATTGTCTTAGAAAATTGCCGGGGGGCACTGGCCTAGGATCACACAGCCAGTGTCAGACAGAAGCCCTGAATAATGATAATGATGATGGCTAACATTTATATAATGCCTAGTATGTGCTAGGCACTGTACTGTGCTTTACAAACCCTGGGAGATAAGTGCTAGTATTGTCCCCCTTTTACAGTTGAGGAAACGGACACAGAGGTCAAGTGTCTTGCCCAGAGTCACCTAGCCACTGTCTCAGTCTGGATTTGAACTCAAGTCTTCTTGACTCCAGGCCTGTTCCCTATGCGCCTAGCTGCCTCTTAACTTTTAGGTCACCTTTATCTCCCCTATCCCAGTGTGCCTCTTCCGTAAATCTTAACCATAAAGCCAAACACCTACTAAATTTGTTTTGAAGAAGATAAAAAGTTCTCTCTTTTTTTTTTCTTTCTCATGGTTTTGCCCTTTGGCTCTAATTCTTCTTTACAACATGACTAATGTGGAAATATGTTTAACATGATTGCATGTGTGTGGCCTATATCAGACTGCGTGCCATGGGGGGGGGGAGTGGAGGAAGGGGGAGAAAATTTAGAACTCAAAATCTTATAGAAGTGAATGTTGAAAACTAAAAACAAATAAAATTTTTTTAAAAAGACAAAAAGTCCCTTAGCATCAGCTAATGGGTAGTTGCCTGGTAGCTAGCAACTTTGCAGAACAGAGGGAAATATATACACATATAACATATACATATATATACATATACACATAGTATGTCTATGTGCATATATATATGTGTGTGTGTGTGTATATATATATATATATGTGTGTGTATATATATATATATATATATATAGATATAGATATAGATATAGATATAGATATATACATATATGTATAATACACCCAAGACTGGATTACTTTGATATGTGTGTATATCTTAAATACACACATATCTATATATATAAACACATATATAAAAATGTATGTGTGTTTATCAGCTAGGTAGTACAGTGGGTAGAGCACCAGGTCTAGCATTAGGAAGACCAGAGTTTAAATTTGGCCTCAAACATTTACTAGCTTCATGACCTGGGCAAGTCTCTTAACCTCTGTTTGTCTCAGTTTCATCATCTGTAAAATTGAACAATAGCATCTATGTCCCAGATTGCTGTGATGTTTAAATGGAATTGTAATGAAAACTTCTTCCCCATTTCCTATCAGCTTTCGGATTTCTCTGGAGCTATTACGCCTTCCTTCCCTAGGAAGCTACTCATTGGGAATTATTACCATGCTGCAAGATCGAGTCTGCCTAGTACTCATATCCCTGTGGTCGGATCCTCAGTATGGGAGTAGGACGTGGGCTCCCAGTCTCTATAAAGAAGGGGCTCAGCACAATTTTTCCTTCTCATTCCCCACCAGTTACACTGCTCCTGGACTTCTGTGGAACTCTTCACCTGAGCTGTGTGCCCACCCTCCACTTTCAGTTTCCTTCCTTGTATGGTCTTCCCCCATTAGATTGTAAGCCCCTTGAGGCTGTAAGTTCCCTTGACAGGGATTGTCTTTTTATTAGCATTTGTATTCCCAGCACTTAATAATAGCTAACATTTATGTAGTATTTGCTATTTATAAGGTTTTACATGTCTTTAAGGCAGGCAGTGAAAGAAAACTATCTGTTGAAGCTGATAGCCACTTTCCTTGTTCAGGAGGTCCAGTAATAGGGACAGGTTGTCAGGTGATTTGGGGGTTGGGGAGAGAATGGCTTAGCTTCGGGGCAACCTTGGTATCACCCAAGTTCAGGGCTGTTCTTGGGTAGGGGTGTGTCCCCCATTGTCTAGATGGGCCCACCATTTGAAATAGAATCAGCACAGCCCTACAGGCTCCATTTCTTTGACCTCTATGATTACTTATAAGTGTTGGAAAATGGAGAGAGAATAATTCTAAACTCACAGCACATCGGTTTTGTCCCTTTGTTCCACAATTTCCCCCTTTGGTATTTCATTAGAAGTATCATCAGATCAGGACTACTCAATAAATAGGTTCACACCTAGTGATTTGTATTTGTTTTTATTTTGCGGTGAAATGGGGGTTGGGAGTGGGGGCAGGGCACTAGCCCTGAGCAGGAGGGACCTGATATATGCGCTGGGGCCTCACACCACAAATTTGTTCTTGGTAAAAGAGTTGCTCTTGGTGGCTGTGTCTGCATGGGCCTGGTAGCCAATAACAACCTTCGGTGAGAGTCCCAGCCTCTCCTTGAAGACACGTCTAGGAGGCATAGGAAATATTAGGTTTCCCCATCCATGCATTCCCAGTATCTTCCTCCCTCTAGTCTCAGCATTTTCTGTTCCTCTTCTCTACCTCCCAAGACTATATTCTACCCTGGAAAGTCCTTGCAGTTCCCCTTCCCCTCCCCCCTCCACATACTTACCCAATAAAGGTGACAGCTGGCTGGTTCTCAGCCTCGCTGGTCCAGATGGCTATTTTGTCCCCCTTGCTTCGAACATTGACCACAGCGCCACACACCTCCTCACCGTACTCTTCAAAGGCCTCTCCAATCAGAGAAAGAAGCTGGCCCCAGAAGAACAGAATGAAGTATTTTGCCCTGGTGCTGGCTAGCAGTCCCAGGGCTGTCCATCTGTGAGGCAAACCCTGGGCCTAAAGTCCTTCTCTGAAGTCAGACCCTAGACTGGCTCCTCCTAAAAGCTGCTGATATCCCTAGGGAGAATCCCCTTCCCAGCCCCAGGTGAGAAGTAGAATGATTAGAGGTTCATCTAGACCAATCCCCTCATTTTGCCAAAGAGCACACAGAGAAAGAAGGAAAGCATCTGTCTAAAAGTCACTTGAACAGTGACTTTTAGTAGTCACTTTTTTTTTGAGTGAGTTGGGATTTCAGATTCAAGTTCTGACTTCACATCTTACATTTTTTCCAGATTAGACCAGGCCACAGGGAGAGCCCCATCTAATATCCTCACTTTCAGGAATATCTGGATGAACTATGGGTATAGCCTGAATAGGGGGTGGGTACAGCCTGGGGTACCTTCTCTCCCTCCCTCCCCAGTCCCATACTGACTGTCTCTAGCCAGAGTCGATCAAGGTCGCTCTGACGCTGTTGCTTGGCCAGGCTGACCAGCCAGCGGCCACCATGCTTATTCCTGCTATCTTCCCACATAGGTTCAATGCCGTCCTGGGGGGTAGGGGGGACACAGAGTTGAGGAAGGAAAGAAAATATTCAGTTCATTCTAACCTGTGCTAATAGCAGCCTCCTTCATACTAGAGATCAGAGACCTCTGCTACCATGTAGCTCCCCATGAAAGAAGACTCTTCCTCTCAGCCTAAAGAAGGCAAAAATTCCCAGCCCAGACTTGGCACTCTTTAGCAGGGAAAAAGCTTAGAGGAATAATGTCTCTCTAGGGTCAATGTGGTAAACCATCCCAGGAATACTTCTACCTCCACCCCCAGCTACCTCAGCCCTTTCCCCTAGGGAAAGAAAGCTAGGCTTGACATCCAGGTTTGTAGGATTTAGAACTAAAGGGAATCTTTAAAGATCTAATTTAGCTCCTCATTTCAGAGGTAAGGAAACTGAGACCCGGGAAGGAGGAGGAATTTGTTCATGGTCACACAAGTTAATGCCAAAGTCAAGAATTCCAACTCGGATTTTTTTTAAATCAAGTGGATCATTCTTTCCACTCTACTACAGTGTATCCAGGTGATGCTAATTCCACTAGGAAGAGTTTTTCCCACCCTCCCTGCTTCCCCCCTCCCCAATGTCCATTCTCCCTCAGGTGGAAGGCTTGGTGGGGTAGGGAACGTTACCTTGAAAAGGGCATAGTCGCAGCCAGAGGACAGTTTGCTGACCGGTTGGGTATGGCTGTAGAGCCTAGGAGAAGAAACCTTAGTGTCCCATATCATCATAGGCCTAGAAAGGATCTTAGAAACCACAGAGCCCAACTCCCTCATTCTGTAAGTGGGGAACCTAAAGTCTAGAGAGACACCATAACACCCTCATTTGCTGGAGGCCTATGCTATATAGAAACTGTTTTGTATGTTACCCTGGAAAAAAGGCCCAGAAGAAAAGGCAAGTCCCAGGGCAGAGCCACAAATACCACACGGATGGGAGGAACTCCAAGGGCAAATGTTTAAAGGGCTGAAGCTTAAAAGGGATCACAGGCTGCACAGCTAGAAAGAACCACCTTGGAGTCTCTCCACTTTTGATTCTCTTATTCTACAGATATGACATGGGTTATACAGAGAATGCAGATACTCCCTGCCTCACAGACACCTCGGAGTTCCAGTTCTGGCCATAAGGCAACCTTGACTTTTTAGTACACCATGACATCCATGAAGGGGCAGAATGTGTCATCCATTAAAAGGAGAGAGTGCTTCTGGCTCTCCTCCTCCTCTGTTCACAAGTGGTCACGAGATTTTCTGTGGTGTCACTCTTTTCCCATCCCCAGGTTGCTCCTACGTGGAACGTTAACTCAACTGGTGGATCTTCGTTGGCTGATTTTTCTGCTTTGATTTTCTATTCCCAATATTCTCAACTGAGCAATCAACCTAGAGGTGGATATGTTCAGACTTGGAGGAGACATTGTGAGTTTCAGAGATCTAAAGGCCCTGGGTTCATTAAGCGAAACAAGGGTGTGTTTCTTCATTGACATTCCCTCTGGTTCTTCAACGTTAGATGTGTGGGCTTGTCCAGGATCAAAAACCACTTCTGGGCTAACAGGGGCTGGTGTACAGCTTGCTTTCATTTCCACTAAGGGACCCATCTGTTCTGGACCCACAAAGGCAAGGAATGTCAGCAAATGCCATCCAACCCACATATTTACCAATGTCACACAGGGAAAAAAGTTGCAGAACTAAAAATTATACTATGACACTGACTCTAAATCAAGAGTTTTTTCTACCAGGCTACAGGGAAAATCTAGGGCCAGACAAGACTAGAAGGGACCTTCTTACCCAGTAACCAAAAGGGATCTTTTCATTCACACTAACACCAAACTCTAAAGGCATGAAATGCTTTCTTCACAGCTGTTCTGGGAGGGAGATAGGAGAGTTGGTATCATCCCCATTTTACAGATGGATTCAAATACTAGCTCTGCTATTAACTCACCATGTCACAATTGTTTTTAACTTGTTTCAGTTGTGTCCAACTCTCCACGACTTCATTTAGGGGTTTTCTTGCAAAGACACTGCAGTGGTTTGCCACTTCCTTCTCCAGCTCATTTTACAGAGGAGAAAACTGAGGCAAACATGGTTAAATGACTTGCCCAGGGTCACACAGTTAGTAAGTATCTGAGGTCAAATTTGACCTCTGGAAGATGAATCTTCCCTATTCCAAGCCCAGTGCTCTATTCACTGCACCCCCTAGCTGCCCTCTGTCACCACAGGCAGGTCACTTTGCCTCTACTTATAGTGGTTATCTGGCTTACTCAAGCTTGTAGATGTTGAAGCTAGGACCTTAAACCCTAGTCTTCTGACCCCAAACCAGTGTTCTTTTTCTGCTTCCCCATACTGCCTCCCATCATTGATAAACAGACTCAGCAGAGACAAGATAGCTGTCTTCAAGGATTTGAAAGGCTGCCTTTTGAAACAAGGATTAAACTAGTTGTGCTTGGCCCTAGAGGTCAGAATGAGGAGGGAAGGATATTTTGCCTGGATGTTAGGGGAAACTTTCTAATAATCATAGCTGTCCTGAAGTAGAGATATGATTGATGCCTCAGGAGGGAGCTCTCAGTGGAGATCTTTAAGGAGATTGATGGAAGACCGCTTAGGGATGTCGTGAGAAGGATTCCTGTTCAAGCCCAGGTTATCCTTGGAGATCACATTAGCAACAAGGACCCTTCTGTGTTTTAGCTCCATACAAGCCAAAAGGAACCTAAGTCTTAGTACTGTGGACCCCATTCCTGCCTAGGGGTCTCAGGGTCAGGTGGTCAACCAGACACACACCTTACGGAAATAGACCCCATTCAAATGGCAAACTGTGTTGTCCTTTTGGGTGGGATCTTTACCAGGTCACAGGCAGAACTGAGAAAAGTCCTGCCAGGAGGATGTAGGATTCCTACTCACCAAAGGAAAAGGCAAACCCAGGTATCCTAGTGGAGTGGAGATTCCAGGAAAAAAGGAAATTCTTTTTTAAGGGGAGAGAAAGAGGGTCAGACAGAGCTGCCCCTCCTTCACTGGTGGAGTTTGTCAGTGAGTGTAGCTTGGCTCAGTCAATAGGGAGCTAATGAAAACTTTTTGAGTAGAAAAATGTACTTCTTCCTCACAACCCAACCCCCTCTTTTCTTTCCTGGGCCCAGCTGAAACTCCTTCCACCAAACCTCAGATACCCACGCCCAAAAGTCCTCCACAGTATCAAACTTGGTGACCAGGTGAAGGTTGTCCCGCCACGCCCTGTTCCTGTCATTCTTGAAGAACCATAAGGCCCACCTGCAGAGAGTGGGGAAGGGAGACAGAAAGGAAGCAAAACAGTGAAACTCAGTTATCCAGCATCGAACAAGTATAATGGAAAATTTGTACCATGGTTTTGGTGTCCAGAGAATATTAGCTATGCCACTGACTCTATATGTGACTATGCAAATCACTTTAATTCTCAAGGGCCTCAGTTTCCTCTTCTGTAAAATAAAAGGGTTGGGCTAGATTAGGGTGGGGCCTTGAGGCCCCACACAGCCTTCTAGGTCCTTGAGTACGGCCTTTTGGCCGAGTCCAAGGTTTACAGAATGAATCATTTTATTAAGGGGATTTGCTCTGTGACCTTTGGATTCAGTCAAAGGGAAGTACTTGAGGTCCTAGAGGGCCACATGTGGCCCCGAGGCTGCAGGTTCCCCATCCCTGGTAGATGATCCAGAGGTCTAAGCCCCTTTCATCTCTAAATCCTAGGGGCCAAGCCCTGGGGTAGAAGAAGCAGATGGAGGAGGGTATGAAGGGAAGAAAAGAGTCTTACTAATAAACCGAGGCAAGTGCACAGTGGCAACCCCTGCCAGTACCTGTTTTCCAAAGGATGCTTCTCCAACCCTTCCCCAAGAGACAACTTCCTCCCCGTTGGGGGCTCCTCCAGCATTGGGACTTCAGTCTGCAAATCCTGCACCTGGCCAGAGGGGAGGAATGCAGGGGTGGGTGTAGGAGTAGGGGGAGTCAAGATCCTTGATGGGCTTCCTTCCAGTCCCCTTCCCCCACCCCTCTCTAAAGAAAGCCCCTGCCAAGCTCGTGGGGCTATGAGAGACATAGGAAGGGGGGAGGGGTATCAGACTCACAGTTGGAGCAGCTGTAGCCATGCTTAGCCCTAGACCTCAGCCCAGGGGCTCCTTTTATCCTCTGACCACAAAGGAGGGCATGGTTCTTAAAGGAACAGTCACAGTCTCCCAGCTGTTTCACCTCTTAAAGTTGAGGTAGAGTGTTTCAGGCTGAACTGACTCCAAGAGCTGTCTTCCATTCCTTTTCCCTACCCGGAGGGTAGGGAAACCTAAAGGGTTTCAAGTGCAGCCTAGCCTTGTGGGAGCTGGATGAATCTGTATTTAATCAAGTCAAATCACTTCTCCACTCAGAAAATGTTCATTAGCTCCCTACGGACCACATCAAGGCCAAACTCAGTTTCCTGACATTCGAGGCTCTCTCAGCAAGCTGGCACTGGTCTTCTTTTTCAGACTTATTTAATATTGTTCCTTTTCCATGCATTCTATATTCCAGTCAAATTGGACTGCTGTCTGTCCTCCCCTATCAACCTCCACACATACCCTTAGGACTGACTACCTACCTTCAGCTTCTTTACTTTTTGAATTCCTACCCATCCTTTAAAACCCAATCAAATACCCTGTCCTTCTCTAATGTCCTGCACCCCCTTGGAAAGACCTGCCTGTCAGGCAACACGTAAGAATCAGGATAAGGACTAGACCTGTCATTTCAATAATGTAGGGAGCTCCCAGAGAGGGAAACTCCCTCTACCTATGCAGGTTGGCACCTTCTCTCCTTTATACTTATTTGTTCGCTTGCCATCTCTCCCATTTAATTGTGAGCTCTGTGAGGGTAGGGGCTATTTCTTTCTTTGTATCTGTAGTGCTTAGCCCAGTGCCTAATACATAGTAGGTGCTTAATAAGTGTTTATTGATTGATTGATTCTTAACTATTTAATAATCTTAGAGAACTGCTTAGAACATGGAGCCTAAGTGACTTGCCCAGGTTCACACAGCCAGTATGTGTTTGAGGAAGGACTTGAATCCAGCTCTTCTTAGCTTCAGGCTAGCTCTCTACTCACTCTGCCAGGTAGATTCCATATAGCATAGTGGAAGGAATGCCGAATTTAGAGTCCAATGAGCAGGATTCAAATCTTGGCTCTACTACTTACTAGCTGTGTGACCTTGGATAAGTCATTTAACTTCCCTGTGCCTTGATTTCCTCCTATTAAACAAAAGTGTTGGATTCAATGGCCTCCAAAGTCCCTTTCTGCTCTAGATTTGTGATCGTATGACATGGTCCTTTCTTCTGTACTTCTCTAATGCATGTATTATATAATATTTAGTATGAGCATCATCTGTGTCTTATCCTCCTAAACCCCAGAAGGGAGATCCCGTGACTTAACCTTGCCTGTGTATTTCCCCCAGTACTCTGAATACAGCAGGCAAATAACTGAAAGGGAAAAGTGTGGTATGACATGATCAAAAGTACCCTAGCTTTGGATTCAGAGGACCTGGGTTTGAAACCTGGCCCTGCAACTTATTCACTATTTTACCCTGGGCAAGTCATATAACCTCAGTTTCCTCATCTGTAAAATAAGGAGATTTAATTAGATGAGCTCTTGGTCCCTTCCAGCTCTGGATCTATGGTGCTATAAACAGCTAGTCATTTGTGAGTCCCAGAATGTGGCCCATTTATTACCAGTTACCCTGGGGACCTAGGATCCTGGCTCTTCCCCTTTATTATCTGTAATCTAATCAATAATATTACTGCTTCTGCAAAGGGCATGTCAATAGACTACTGAAGGTCTTAAGGCAAGATTTGTTTGTCCTTCGTTTTCTAAGAGAACCAATGATATCACAGGGTGATGTCTTGACTTGTGCATAAATTGGACTTAAGTGAAGCAGAGTTGCACAGAGTGGTCAGCCTCACTCCTCTTCTACAGTCATCAAAATCTAAAGAGAAGACAAAAGTCAGGATGATTGGCAATGACCTTGGATGCACTGGATAACCTTGAGGGTGACCTTGACATCTTTGATGTCTGACCAAGCTCTAAGCCCTCCACAGAGGCTCCTTCAGCCACCTTCATGGCTATTGGAACAAATTGTCCTCATCCACGCATTCCACTGAGGGAAGTCTTCACGTGCTTGCAGTAAACATACCTCTACCTCCCCAACTTGTTTGAGGCCTATTGGTTACCTTCAACTTGGTTTAGCCCATCTGCTGCGACAGTTTACTGGGGTGTGGCTTCTGTGTATCCTACAACTTCTTGGAGCCATAGGTAAGAGCTGGGTGAATCAGGTGGATACCAGAGGTAGATGAGCAGCACTCATACCTCCTAAACTCCCCGTACATCCCGAGGCAAGATTTAGTAGTTGATTGGATATGATGGGTAAAAGAAAGTGTGGAGTTGAGAACTATGAGGTTAAAAACCTCTGCCGGTAGAAGAATGGTGATGCCTTTGGCAGAAATAGGGAAGTTCCATGGAAAGGGGAATGAGGTTCAAGGGAAAAAATAATGAATGAGTTCTGTTTTGGTGGAGAACAGACAGAGAGAGTGGGGGATGATGGGCTTTGTAGACAAAGAACAGCATGGGATCACCAAAAGTACCATGCACTTTCCCAAATGTGGTCTAACTTGGTCTTCTCCTCCCATTGACTTGTAGTCTCAGTTCTTTGTCCCATATTCGTTACCTGTCCAAGGTGCTGAAGGACTATTCTCTGGGCTGTCCATCCAACTAGACTATCATAAACTGGATGATCTGCATACCCATAGGTTTTGAGACAGAAAGTGTCTCAAAAGAGGAAGTTAATGTTGAATGGCCTCAATGTGAATAACATTTTGTTCGCTGTATCAAACCCTGCGAAAGCTATAGATCTCCATGATGTCAGTAGACTCTAGAGGAATTGGCCTAGCAATCCACACAGAAAAAAATAAACACATGAACGCTGAAGATCGTCCAGTTTGTGATCGTCTAGTTGGACAGACAGCCCAGAGAACAGTCCCTCAGCATCTTGGACAGGCAATAAATATGGGCCAAAGAGCTAAGCCTAAAGTGAATGAGAGGAAAAGGCCAAGTTACACCACATTCGGGAAAGTGCATGGTACTTTGGTAATTCCATGCTGTTCTTTGTCGACAAAGCCCATCATTTTAATACTGGTATTCTCCTAAAGATGATATGTAGCTCTGAATCATAGAACCCTGTGGATCCAGGATTCCAATATTTGCAATTCAATTCAATGAACATTTACTATGTGGTTACTTAATGCAAGGTACTATGCATTAATGATACTGTCAGATTCTCCATGCCAAGACCACCCCTCTCTTTCCACTCCTTTCTTTTTACTATTAGGAGACACCCTGTTTTCCGGAGCTAAGGCCTAGCAAGCAAGCTTTGCCCCAAGCTTAGCATAACAACAATCCTTTGCAATCACCCTCTGGATGAACTCTGCTGCAGCAAAATCTTAGAATTGTTTCACACCAGCCCCAGGTGGTCCCTGAGCTTGGACAAGCACCTGCAAGATCCATGTTCTAAGGGGCAGCTAGGTGGTGCAGTGGATAGAGCACTGGCCCTGAAATCAGGAGGACCTGAGTTCAAATCCGGCGTCAAACCAAACACTTGGCACTTACTAGCTGTGTGACCCTGAGCAAGTCACTTAACCCCACTTGCCTTAAAAAAAAAATCCATGTTCTAGTGGTGAAGCCCTCCTATGAATCAAACTTGCCTCATTGTTGCTGTTACCCCTCACTGTCATGGCTACAGCTCACTATATAGCCACTGCTATATGTATCAAGGCTTGGCCTTATTGTGGTCGGGTCTCCTCCTAAAGGAGGCCCTAGCATATGTATCTAGTTTCCCTCCTCCAATGGAATAAAAAAAATACTTTTTGCTTATAACCACTCTTAGCCCTTTGTTTTTATTTTAATTTTATTTTATTTTTCGGAGTTAACAGCAGTTGGTGTATAACCTCTGTGGCTCTTTGGTCATTTATTTTCAGGGTTTGACAATATGAAGAATATAATAAAATAATGTCTGTATCAGGGAGTTTGCATTCCACTGAAGGAATTACACATGTACACAGATAAATAAAATACAAACAAAATTGAAAAGGGAGAAGCCCTAACAAGTAACATTTCACAGAAGATATGGATACTTCTTGGAGCAAGCTAAAGATTTTTGAAAAGCAGAGATAAGGAAGGAGTACACTCAGGGATGAAGTCAGCATGTGCCAACATAGAGAAGTGTGGAGTAGAACTAGGGAGAACAACTTAATAAAATATACAGGGCAGGGCGGAATGTGGAATAAGACAGGAAAGGGCCAGATTGTGGAGGGCTTTTAAATGGCAACTGAAGAGTTTATATTTTCTGATAAAGCCAACAGGAAGCCACTCAAGGTTTTTGGACAGGGGATGAAGTGGTCAGACGGGTGCCTTAGGAAAATTGTTGGAGAGGGGAAAGATTGTACAAATTAGGAGTCGATGCAATGATCCGGTCGAGAGGTAATGAGAGTCTGAATAAGGGTGGTGTCCACGTGAATGGGGAGATGGCAACAGCCACGAGATAGGTTGTGAAGACAGCATCCAAAGGACTTGGCAGTTTATTAGATTTGGGGAGTTAAGGAGAAGGAAGAGTAAAGGGTTACTCCAAGGTAACTCCCAGGAACATTATAGCCAAAATCTAGGTCTTCTAGGCAAAAGAAAAAATACCACAAGCAACCGAACTCAAGTACCAAGGAGCCACCGTATCACACACTATGTATCAGCCATCATTAGGAAGGAGCAGAGAGCTTTGAATATGATATTCCAGAAGGCAAAGGACAAAGGCTTGCAGCCAGGAATAATTTACCCAGCCAAATTGAGGATAATCCTGCAGGGGGGAAAATAAACTTTTAATGAAATAGAGGA